ATGCAAAAGATTTCAGCTTATAGAGGTCGGCTTAGCCAAACCGAGCCTAATATTTGACCCATTTGACCTCCACCAGCTTGAATCTTTTGCATATCATTGCTCTTTGCACTTTTTGCATTTAATACTATGTATAGGCCATTATAGGATAGAACACTGCACATACTGCTTTTTAAGTTAACAAACGTATAAATAGTTTGTTATTACCCTTCATATCCGGGTCTTTATTTTTCAGGATAGAAATTTAGGAAGACCTTACTCCACCACATCTTCAAATATGATGGTCGCTGGGTTTAAAAATGCACTAACTCTGAAGCAAAAATATACTCACTTGGGAAACATGTCACACAAGCCCTAAAAATAATTTTAGCTTAAAAGTAGCACTAAACTCAGGAGTTAAATCTTAAAAATACATTCAAGTACCTTAACTATTAACAAAAATGTATCTTATTTGTGTATCACTCGGCTGTAGATCCTCAAATCATCTCTGAATTGGTGCTGACACTGTCCTTCCTTCTGGAGGGGGGCTACTTTTGTTCCCCATGGTCCTTGTGTGTTGTAAAGTAGTCACCACTCTAAACTCAATCCCGTGATAGACTACTATCTCACATTTAATTTACTAATTTGTATTGAGATTGTGGTCCATCACATGAGCGAGCTTGGATTGGCAGCTACTTTACAACACACACACACACACAGAGGAACCAAGGGGAACAAAAGTAGCCACCCTCCAGAAGGAAGGACAGTGTCAGCACCAATTCAGAGATGATTTGAGGATCTACAGCCGAGTGATACACAAATAAGATACATTTTTGTTAATAGGGTGCTTGAATGCATATTTAAGATTAAACGCCTAAGTTTATTGACAAGAAAAATTCAAAAAAAATTAATCCGATTGGACATATGTTACAATAATTGCTATCTCAACAACTTTCAGAATTGAGTCACTTGCCTTTCAAAGTAGCTTACAGGATTGAATGGAGAATTCACAGGGGAAGCTTAACGTTTGTATTTTTGATTTAAATGTTATATGTTGGTTTGCAGAGCAAGTCACCATCTAGTACTCCATTCTGACATATCAGATTTAAGAGCTTCATCCAGGTTAGGTGTTTAGATTTGGGGAAGTACTAATAAATGTATGGCTTAACCTACAGATTGAACTGGATGGTCCTTGGTCTTTATTCAGCCTTACATACTATGTTACAATTACATTTGTGGTTGCCTTCAGCAGATCTGCTGCTGTGAAATTCAGTTGCTTCACAGAGCGCACATCCCTGACACTCATCATCATGATCATGCTGCAAAGCAGTAGTAAGTTATAAGAGCTCTACAGAGGCGCAAAATGGATAAAGCTGAACTCCAGGATAAGCAAACATTGTCCAACTATAAGAGGCATGTGTATTCATACCATTCGTACCCTGGTCTCTTTTGTGTAGTTCCGTCTTACCTATGTAGTGCAGGAGCCTTCTGTAATACCGTGTTTCCCCGAAAGTAAGACATCCCCCGAAAATAAGACCTAGCGCTATCTTCGGGGATGTCTGTAATATAAGACCTACCCCGAAAATAAGACCTAGTTCGGGGTAGGTCTTATATTACAGTCTATTCACACCTTGCGTTTAAATGCCTTTATCTGCAGTCAGTTTAGTTGCTTTCAGAAAAAATTGAAATCAGGTGCGTCTAGGAACCACTTTTAACTTCTAAAACACACCAAAACGCATGGAAACACAAGATACACTTTTTGCTGAAATCACATTGGCTTGCTCAATGGACAGATGCATCTAAACGCATGTGCATTTACATAATTTTAAGCATCTAGAAGCATAAACAAAGCATCCAGCCTGACAGATTTCGCAGACAGATATATGTATAAAACCACAAATGGCAAGTGTGAATGAAGCGTAAATCCTGGGTTTGCAAACACATTTGGTACACACGAATCGGGTTTATATCTTTTGTGGCTCTTCAGGAATATATTTAAATGAAAGGGTCTGTGCCCAGAGTTCAGCTTTAAAACACATGTTCCCATGAAGGCAGTCGCAGAAATGTATTTACACCTTATGCTTTGGGTAAGCTTCTTCATACTAACAATCCAATAAAAGCAAGTGAAAGAAAAATTAAACGCTCAGCTCCAGACAGATAAAGAAAACATAATTTAATACAGTCATGTACTCAGTAATTAAGTGTATACATATACCTAGCATAAATATCAGAAAGGAAGGGTCAGCACTCTGACCATTAGGGCTATTTTGTTGTGCTGTCAGGCAGATAAGAGAACATTTTTCATTGGGAGAGCATAGGGATGACCTAATCAATGAACTGTTACCTAATTGTCAAATCCTAGGCTGGGTTGGGTCTTGGACCAGGCTGTACTGCAGCGTAGTCTACAGAGACATCCAGGACCTGCCTGTGCTGTCTGGCAGAGGTCTGAATTACATCACTATCTGCGCAGAATTACAAACAGTCAGGTAAAACAGTTTCCTTATATTTTATTAAGGTATATACAGATTTAAGCACCTCCTGCAACTAATGAGCCATATAGAGGTGCAATAGCAAGAACACCTGAACAGCAGAAAGAATCATTATCACATGAAAAGAATGATAGGAGAGTGTTCTTTTTTTCTATGGAATGGTAAAATAGCTTTTGGTGTGCGTGCATCCCATCCATTATCTGCATTGGGAACACCGTGGCATGCAGGGTGTACAAGGAGGGGAAAACACATCAGTGCCAATTATAGTACACCTTAAATGGCTCATAACCTATAACCACAGGCTAAACTGGGTCTTTATTGAAAATCCAAATCAGAATGTTAAAATCATTTCTTTCCAGACATGGAACATTTATATATGTTCTAGTGAAATGATTGAGTAGCTAATTATATAAAGTTTTTTTTTATATTATGTTAAGTGGTCTTTAAATTTGAACAATGATCTCTTAGAAGGAAAGTTAAAAAAGTATTTTGGGATCCAGGTTATATTTTCCTTTCAAAATAACTATAGTAGAGAGTCAGTCAGGATTGAGCTTCCGTTCTAGAAAAAGTCAGGTCACATATGAGAAAAGCTAGAATCCGAGATGAAAGAGAGATGTCCGTCTGATATTCTGCTTTCTTCTTTCCACCGGAACAATTGTTTCAGTGAAATGCAAGCACCAGAGATGCCGAGGGACCTCTGGAAAGAGCTTGCGAGGTAGTTCTGCGAGAGGAAAATAACATAGCTTTGGCATGACGATCAGCAAACGCTACGAAGAGACAGACTTGCTGAAGTTTTCTAGCCTTTCAGTTGATCAGTTAACACACAAAAGCTGAAATTCATAGCACCATAACAAAGAGGTAGAACCTAAGTCAACTGTTCTAATATTTGCATAATTCTTGATATATGGTAAACCTGTATGTTAAGATGTGGATTTAACAGTAGCATAAACCCTGATTTAACAGTAGCGTATACCCTGGATAGCAGTGCTACATCCAAATCAGAAATCTACCAATACAAACCAGACTTACTTGACTATATACTGTATACCAAAGCAGGAAATACAATGGAGTTTAGTTGTAGACATCATTAAAAAGGAGAACTATGAGCTGAGTGGTTTCCACTCATCCTCAGTTAGAGCTGACCTGTGACAAAGAAGCTGTCACAGGTCGGCTCTATTGATCGGGAAGCGAGCAGAAATATGCACCGATCTGCTCACATCCCGATCATCTCCCTGTAATAAGCGGTGATTGTCAGTCACCGCTCCCCGCAGGCATTCCCCCCCTCCCCTATCTTGCAGCGCTGAGTGGAGGAACGAACGGGGTAGGACACAGCTGGCTCTGCCTCTAGATAGGCAGAGCCAGCTGTCACTCATGCAGCTAGGTGGATCACAACAGTATTGCCGGGATCCGCCTGGGCTGCGGTGCTCTCAGTATATTGCAGGCAATAGCCTGCAATATACTGAGCTTTGGGTCACGGGAGGAGGTTAGCATATGTCCTCGCGGGACCCTAAACAGAACTATGGGGAAAAACACTTACCTCATAGTTCTCTTTGTAAGTAATATCATTATGTACTAAGAATTTTACCGTTTCACTGAAATGGTTAATTTCAGACTCCACTCTGTGCAGTAAATAGGAACAAAGGGGCTCCCTATTCTAAGTGCCTTGTAAACAATGGCCAATCCTTTTTATGGCCATTGCAGAAGGAAGCCCTCAAGGGATATCACTATATCTGAAGATATGCAATAAATGTCCTCAAAATGAAAAGTAGAATTTCTAGGTTTCATGTGAGAGGGGTGGAACTGTTGTTTTTACTAAAGGAAAACTCCCTTAAAGTGACCAATCTTTTCAAAATGTAATCCTATGAGAGGCAGCCATTTTTGTTATATTTATAGACTTCTAATATCCCTTGCCTATTTATTAGGATTAACTCTTATTGTCAACTGATTAATCCTACAAAACTGCTACCTGCGGTGAAGACCAAGCGGTCTACAACTTGTGTCTGTCTACAAAAGCTAAACGTTTAATGTTACAAAGCTATACAAAGCACATGCTGCAGGTCTGCTCTTACTTCAGCAAAGCATCATTACCATCACAAGCATTTAAATATGTATACTAAAAGGATTGGACTGGTCATATTTCCCATCCACGAAATTAAATTTTCATAGGCCTCTCGAACAAGTGAGAAAGACAGGTCATTGTTGATGTATCAGTAGCATAACTGGTGGCTGAGCAATTCTGCACAAAACCATTGGAAATGTTAGGATGATGGATTATGGACCAAAAGTTTTAGATAGCCCCAATAAGTGCTTCAGTTTAGAATGAATAACATTTTGACTAAATACCCACTAACCATTCTTTAGGTTCTCTCATTAGGGACTAGGAGTGCAGTGGAGTTTCATGAAAACTGGAGTTTAGGGTTCTCTAGTAAGGACAATGTATGGCTCCGTCACGAGAAGTATCCTCATGCAGGAGGGTTGAATTGGTCCATATGCCTCCCTGAATCTTGAAAATTAGGCTCTGTTTAATAAAACAAATTATTTATCCTTCTCACTTGGCAAGTCACGGGCTGACTTTAGGAAATCGCTTCGAAGGAGGCGGTAGAAAAGAACTATGTTCATCAAAGTCATGATGGCCATTCCAACACTACCAATGGTATAAATGAGAAGTGGAATGTTCCCACGGTTTAGCACCAACCACCTTGTCATCCACGCCAGAGTGCTGATCCTGAAGATGACATATGTGCCCAGGTTTAGTAAGCTGTTGAGCCGGTAGAAAGTGGTTTTTAGCTGGTTGGCCATGAGAAGGATCTGTCTCAGATGCAGGAAGATAGAGTTAATTTCCACCAGCAAAGCCACCACAGCGAAACCTATATAGCGGTGTAGGAGTACAGATATCCCAAAACAAGTGATAACCTAGAAGAGAGTAAAAATAAGATCCAATTAGCAAAACCACAATAAAATTAAAAAAAAAAAAAAAAAAGCACACGGGTATTAAAATGCAACTGCACCTTTTGCTTGACAGGGCACAAAAGCCATACCCACAAACCGGCTGCTAATATAATCCATTGCATGTCCTAACATCACCCACATGCTATCTCTCTGCTATCTTACTCAAGATTTTGCTCTCGCTAAAGTACAGATTTTCAGGAGGCTTTTGACAGGTGTTTACTTGGGGAAGGGCTTTTCTGCCTGGTGAGGGTAAATGCACAGCTATACATTAACAATTGGGCAATAGGGTTTATACACAACATTTCTTAAAGGAGAACTATGGGGTTAGTGCTTTTCCCCATAGTTCTCCGCAGGGTAACGGGAGGACACAAACTAGCGTCCTCCTGTCACCCAAAGCTCAGTATACCGCGAGCTGCAGCTGCTATATATCAAAATTAACTGGCTTTGGATATACTGTACCTTGATTCAACCACTTCAGTTTGGTCACATTTTATCAGGACCCTGAATAAAAGATCCCCTTTCCCTGTTCAACTCTCAGCAAAAACACCTCCCTTCACCACTGCTCTTGGAAGACAATGCATGGCTAATGACAGTCACCCATTCTATTGCTTTTCATATATTCAAAGCCAAAGATGGAATGGAGCCACAATACGCCATACGAATTAGAAAGTGGAAGCTTCCGCTAGTGCTCACTCTAAAAGGTGCCCATACACTGCGCGATTCTCGTACGAGAATCGCGGGAAATCTCGCGATCGTACGATAATCGTGCAGTGTATGGAAGGCGTGCAACCGTTTCTACTGTACTACTGTACGTTTGGACAGCGCCCTGGTTCTCATGGTGCTGCTTGCTTAGTGGTGCCCCTTGCTCGGTGGTGTTGCAGACTCTAGGGCCTTCCAGAACAGGTGCATATATAGACTGAGATCATGTGACATTTAAATAAAGATCACCTGTGTGCAATCTAACTACCGTATTTGCCGGCGTATAAGACGACCCCCTATTTTTTCAGTTAAAACATAGGTTTAGGCTATACTCGTCGTATAAGAATACTGTATGTACGGTAACTTTGGCTACATACAGTATACCTGTGATTGGCTCAGCGCGGTATACTGTATGTAGCCAAAGTTACCGTACATACAGTATTACCGCACATCCAGCAGGCTGACAGATTAGATTGTATACCCGGTGTATAAGATGGCCCCCGATTTTCAGGGGATGTTTTTAAGTATAAAAAGTCGTCTTATACGCCGGCAAATACGGTGATTATGTGACTTCTGAAGGTAATTGGCCTTACCAGATCTTATGTAGGGGCGTCATAACAAAGGGGGTGAATACATATGCACGCACCCCTTTTCTGTATTTTAATTTTCTGGATTTCACTACACCATTTTGGACTATTTTGTATATGTCCATTACAAATAATCCAAAATTTAAAATCCATTTTAATTCCAGGTGGTAATGCAACAAAATAGGAAAAAAATGCAATAGTTTTGCAAGCCACTGTAAATAACTCAATCTCAATACAAATTAGTAAACTAAACGTGAGATTGTAGCCCATCACGGGGGTGAACTTGGAGTGGTGGCTACTTTACAACACACACAGGGACCATGGGGAACAAAAGTAGCCACCCCCCAGAAGGAAGGACAGCGTCAGCACCAATTCAGAGATGATTTGAGGATCTACAGCCAAGTGATACACAAGTAGGATACATTTTGGTACCGTTTTCTCTGTATCAAGTACCGATGTTTTTTGTTTTTTTTTACACTACTCACCGATACCGAATACTGATACCGGAAGTCCCATTAAGGAAGCCAGTTCTATGCTCCCTCGTCACCAGGTGACGAAGAAGCATGGAGTCGGCTTTCTGGCCAATCAGGAAGCCAGGGGGCGGTTAATGACTTGCCGTCCAGCTTCCTGATTGGCCAGCTTCCCAACGAAATCAGGAAGCGGGGCAGAGAGTCATTACACGCAACTCGGCTTCCTGATTGGCTCCATGCTCCCTGGTCACCAGGGAGCATGGAGCCGGTTTTCTCGCCAAGTACTCGCCCAAATACTCGGTATCGGTGCATCCCTAGTTAATAGTACCAAGGTACTCGAGTCCATTAAGATTTAACTCCAGAGTTTAGAGTCACTTTAAGTGCAGTTTTCATAATATGCAATGCTCTTTTGAACGTATACGTTTTATACTACTTTTGACCTTGTTAACCCTTTTTGTAACTTCTAAAAAACGATTGCAATAAGAGAAAAAAAAATAAAAATGTTGACGTATCGTGATAAAAGTCTAACAAGACCAAAGACCTAAGCCCTCACACATATGGTGGCTGTTAGCTCAGGTTACACAATTTTTTTTTAACATGCAGAGGTCTACAGGAAGATGGTGTCACGGCAAGGCAAGAATGTCTGGGTTTGTAAGCTCGGTTACCCAGGTTTATAAAGATCCCCTGTGGAAGCATTATTAAACACCCACATCCTAAAACACTCAAGGAATTTGAAATTTCATTTATTTTCCCAGCAGCCAAGTTAGCTGGATCCTGGAATACTTTATGTAATATTTTTCCATTAATATAAACTGGTGAATAAATTGAACAAAAACTTTTTGGTTTGCAGAGCCACTCAATGCACTCAGCCAACATGATAGCAGTTAAAAAAAAAAAAGCAAAATAGAATTTTTAGCTAATTAAAAACAGAAACTGGTGAAACATCACTTTTTATCACAGCAAGCTGCTTTATAGATGAACACCTATCCCAGGGTGACATTAGGTTAGCCATAAGCTATCACCAAACAAAAAAAGAGCCACACGCCAGCTAAGACACCTTCTCAAATCTGAAAGCACATGGCCAGGGGCCAACCCCGGATGTGGTAAATCTAGAAAGCACTTTGACATTTTGCAATGAGCTTCTTTGTTTTCTAGTAGTAACTGGAATTGTGCCAATACTAAAGCAATTAATTGAGAAACACAAAAAACTGCTACACGATATTATCCCGTACCGCAGGGTGAAGAGATTTGGCCAGCCTTCGCAAATATAGCAGCAAGGCGGGGACCTGAACAGGCTGGCCCAGTTCCTGTGCTCAAGAGAACCCTGGGGGCCATGGACAAGTATGAGCTGTGGAGGAAGCTCCCCTTGCCTCCCAGTGACACTGACGATGGGACTTGCCTACACCTTCCTCCTCGCCTCGGCTGATTATATGACAATCTTGGTGCCCTGTGTGTGAGGGCACTACAAGTGTCAACAATCTCTCTTTAACCAGTTGACATCCGCGGTGTTAAACCCCCTTCCCATCCAGGCCATTTTTCAGTATTCAGCGCTGCGGTACTTTAACTGACATTTATTTTTCCCGGCCGGCTGTCCGTTGTAATCAAACGGCCGGCCGAGAGCTTTATATTCAAGTGATCGGGCGTCTGAGACGCCCGATTGCTTGCCTTCGCAGCTGCTGTCACTGCCGACGCCAGTCCCGAGACCAGCTGTGCCCTGTGCGGCCGGGACCAGCACGGCTGCTCTGACAGGAGATCAAAAGGGAGATCGGTGCAAGATCTCCCTGTGATCTCCTATTCGTTCCCCGAATGCAGGAAGTGATGTATATTACATCACTTCCGCATTCCTCTGTCACTCTCCAGCTTCAGAAGCTGGGGAGAAGCAGATCTCTGCTTCATCAGCTTCTCTGGGGGTCCTTAGGTGACATTAGGGGTCTACATGAGAGCCGGTCATGTAAATTGGCTATCACATAGGGGGATTTTTAACCCCCCCATGTGATAGCAATAAAGTTAAGTGGAAAAAAAAAAGGAGTAATAAAAAAATTGAAGAAGCATTAAAAAAACAAAAACAACAAACACAACATTTTTTTTTTAAAGTCCCCCGCCCCCCACATACACACACAAAACATGTGTCAGGTGCGCCTACGTGCGAAAACGACGATGGCGGGGAGGGGAGAAACTGACAAAGGAGGCGGGGCGGGGAGGAGAGTGATGTGAGCCGCAATGTCAATGTCACAGAAGGCCGAGTTCTCCTCCTGCACCGTTTCGCCTCCTGATAAAATCAGGATGAAAAGCGGTGTGGGGCGGAGACAGCCCGCTCAGCCTCCTGTGAGAGCCAATCCAGGATGGAGAGCAGTATAGTGTCAGCGATACAGTGATCTCTGAATGTTTGTAAATAACTGGACATAGTATGAGTCACTTCCTATTCATTCATGATTGTGTACATAGTAACGCATACTATATCCACAGGTTATGAATGAACAGGAACACTCAGTATAGAGGATTTCTGTTTATTTATAACAGGGGCTGCAGAAAAATGGATTGAGGACGCAATCTCTTTTTCTATTTCAAAAAGGGAAATATTAGTAGTCTGTTTAGACTCCTAATATTTCACCCAAGCCCCCAGCAGTAAAAAGGTAAAAAAATAAAAATATTTGATTTAAAAACATTTTCTAAAAATAAAATTAAAAATACATTTTCGGTTTTAACATTTAATTTCGGTGCACCTCTAATTTTTTATATAGTCCATCATCTTTGGTGAGTGTGAAGTGAAGGCACTAATACACAGAAACAGAGTGCACCCTACTGAAAACAGTGTTTTGCCTGTGTGAAGATAGGATTGTGTCACATTTAGTGAGCACCTTATATTGGACACTGGACTTTGGTTTATTATTGCTGTTGTGGATTTAAGGGGCAGCTGTTGTTAAAGTGTTTAAGACTGGACTGTCAGTCGGAAATCTGGGTCTGAACGTGCGAATTGTGGCCATCAGGGACTAGTCAATGTTAGGGCAGAACGGAGAGAGTGGCAAGACTGGTACAAGACAACAGAAGGGCAACAGTGCAGTGTCAGATTCCTCGCATCACCTTTCACCATCTCGTGGAGTCACGAGGCGACCCAACGAAGTCATCTCGTGGCCCATAATGGCCCATCGTGGTCATA